TTTTTGAGACCGAGTCTCACCCTGTTGCCCAGGCTGGAGTGCAATGGCAGAATCTCAGCTCACTGCAACCTCTACTGCCTGGGTTCAAATGATTCTTCTGCCTCAGCCTCCCGTGTAGCTGGGACTACAGGTGCGTGCCACCATGCCCAGCTAATTTTTGAATTTTTAGTAGCGACAGGGCTTCACCATGTTGACCAGGCTGGTCTCAAATACCTGACCTTGTGATCCACCTGCCTTGGTCTCCCAAAGTTCTGGGATTACAGGCGTGAGCCACTGTGCCCGGCCAGCTTATAATTTTTTTAACTAATGGAAGGTAGAAATATATATATATATATTTTTTGAGACAGGGTCTCACTCTCTTGCCCAGGGTGGAGTGCAGTGGCGTGATCTCAGCTCACTGCATCCTCTGCGTCTCGGGTTCAAGTGATCCTCCTCCCTCAGCCTCTCGAGCAGCTGGAACTACAGGTGTGCACCACCACACCCAGCGAATTTTTTTGTGTATTTAGTATTTAGTACAGATGGGGTTTCACCATGTTGGCCAGGCTGGTCTTGAACTCCTGACCTCAGGTTATCCACCTGCTTCGGCCTCCTAAAGTGCTGGGATTGCAGGCATGAGCCTGGCCAGAAATAAAGTATTTAATTGGATAAAGAATGACAGTAACTGGGAAACATTTGATAGAAACAGGTTTTAAGTATCTTAATGATTACTGCACACTTTATCAGGATGAAACCACATAAAAATTTACCCTTAGGTTTTATAGGATGTAATTTGGAAACAGTCTCATTAGCAAGTTGCTTGAACTTTGACATATGTTCCTGGATCATTCTGTGCCTGTGAGAGACATGTTTATGGAGCTGGGATCATGCTCTGTTGGCCAGGCTGGAGGGCAGTGGCTATTCACAGGTGTGATCATAGTGCACTGCAGCCTCAAACTCCTAGCCTCAAGCAGTGCTCCCACCTCAACCTCTCAAGTAGATGCTTTTGCCTTTCCAAAAATCATACTTTGGCTGGACGAAGTGCTGACACCTGTAATCCCAGCACTTTGGGAGGCTGAGGCAGGAGGATCACAAGGTCAGGAGATTGAGAGCATCCTGGCCAACATGGTGAAACTCCGTCTCTACCAAAATACAAAAAAAGCCAGGTGTGGTGGCGGGTGCCTGTAGTCCCAGCTACTCAGGAGGCTGAGGCAGGGGAATCGCTTGAACCCGGGAGGCAGACGCTGCAGTGAGCTCAGAGCACACCACTGCACTCCAGCCTGGTGACAGAGCAAGACTCTGTCTCAAAAAAACAAACAAACAAACAAAAAAACATACTTTAAGCCTATGCCCTTACCTTGTTTCCCCAGACTCTCTCAAATCGTTTACTATTATTGAGTCCTGATACTCATCCTATGAAATAGGTATTCTCTATCAGTGGTCAGAGTTCTTGTTACTGTAATTCAATCAGCATAAAATAATAATGGAATCTAACATTGATTATGTTCAGTGTGCTAGCACTAAGTGCTCTGAACACTTCATGCTATCTTATGCCAAAACAAGCTTATAAAGTGAGCACTACAGTTCTACTCCATGTGAACATATAAGAAAGTAGCTAACCTAAGTTCACATTCAAGCATGTACACACACAGTAATGGAGGCGAATTCTAACATAGGTTGGTCTGACTTCAGAGCCAAAGCTCTCAGCCATTATGCTTGCCATGCCCAGCACAGGAGAAAGTGTATTTTCAACCAGCATTAAAGCTGCAGATCTCTAGTTTTGCCAGTGCCTTTCCTCAGCTTTGGTGATGGCAGGTGGTGGAAGTCCATGCTCAGAGAGGGATCCTGGCCGCACACCTCACACAATGTTGGGCAGGAGAAACACCATGGGCTCTCTCTGCAGTTCTGCAACTGCAAGCAGTAACCAAGCTGGGCACAGTTGCTCACACTTATAATCCCAGCACTTTGGGAGGCCAAGGTGGGTGGATCACTAGGTTAGGAGTTCGAGACCAGCCTGTCCAATATGGTGAAACCCTGTTTCTACTAAAAAAATATATAAAAATTACCTGGGCATGGAAGCATATGCCTGTAATCCCAGCTACTCAGGAGGTTGAGGCAGGAGAATCGCTTGAACGCGGGAGGTGGAGGTTGCAGTGAACAGAGATGGTGCCACTGCACTTCAGCCTGGGTGACAGTGAGACTCTGTCAAAAAAAGAAAAAGCAGTATCAAGGCCCAGGCTGGTTACCATTCTCACCACTCCTGCTGTTTTTCTTCAACCAGCAGAGCAGGTGAACAGTCCTTGGGCAACCTGCTTGAAGCAAAGTGCCCTCTGCCACTCCCTTCATGAGAGTGTGGCAGGATTGACTGAGGCTGGCTTTGCACTTGCATCATAAACTGGCCATGTGAGAACTCAGCTGCACACTGGCCAGTGGCACCAGGCTCCGGGTTGCCTTTCACTCGCTCACCGGTGCTCAGCTAGCGTTGATTGAGTGCCTGTGATGCAGCAGTCAGGGCCCGCCTGCCTCACCCTTGGCAGTTGTGTGGACCTAGACTGCCCTTCAGCAAAGCCCGCTCTGCCTGAGAGGAAAGGAAGAGCCCCATGCCCACCAGCAAAGGCTTCTGGGGCCTGGGCATCCTCTCCTTCTCTCTCCAAAACTGGGACTTGTGAGTGGTGAAACTTTGTCTCTAAAAATTAAAAGAAAAAAAAAATAACAATTAAAAAAAAAAAAAAATAGTCTCAGATAATTAAGTTTTTTTCCCAAAAAAAAAAAAAAAAAAAAATTAAGAAAATATTAATGAACTTTATTCTAACTTTTATTTTTATTTTTCAGTCCTGTTTTTAAAAAAAGTCTGAAAGAAATAAGGCAAAAGAGTGCTTTCATGGCTTTCTGTGTCATGTCTGACAAGCTAGGAATATTTAATGGTTGACCCACATTTGTGCCCATACTGTGACATTACTTGTTGACTTTTGGATTTTTGCCCAGTAAAGATATGAGTGATTTCTGTGTGATGACCCCAAAGGTTACAGCTGTGCTGCCCTGCAGGATCTTAACCATTTTTGTATCTAACTGGCCATTTGACTTCACACTTTCCAGTGGCTGCAGGTACTCAGCTTTATGAACTCTCTGAACTAGCTTCATCCTCCTCCGGATTCCCTCATGAATGAGCTAAACAAATCCTCTGATATGTGTTCACTTTATATTTGTGTGGGTCATGTGCTTAACTTTTGAGAACTATACTTTGACATTCCCCAAAGCTCAACAACAGAGCTAGATACTCACCCAGGAGGAATTCCGAATTCCATGTTGTCCTACTTCCTATTAAGTAACTTATTTTAGTTCACAGTATTTTGCATTATTATAAAGTAAGTAGAAATAGCAGAATAATTTCTCCTTTTTTATTATAAAACTGCTAAGTTGCTTAGATTTATATATTTATATTATAAGCTGGACTGCTGTTGTTATTTCTCATACAGGAAACATTT